AGGGATCTGCCTTAGCTAGGCGTCCTTGTACACTCGGCTCTCCATCGCTCAGCCAGGCTGGCTTCTGAGGAGTGGACGGGGATCAGACACGGCCCGGCTGGCAGTGTACTGCACCAACGTGTGGCTGCTGTGAGCTGTTCCCAGGCCGGAGCACAAGCAGGACTGGACGTTCAGATGAGGCGAGGTCTCCTGTGCCTTCTTGGACCGAGGGCCCCACCCCTCCATAGCCCCTGCCTATCCTAGAGCTGCTGCCCTAAAGCCCTGGTCTAGGCAGAAGGTGCTGTGTTAAGGCCTCTGCCCTTCGTGGTAACAGCTGAACCTCAGCCACCCACCCGTGAATATGACAGCGTGATAACAAAGGTGCAAGGAGGGCTATGCTGACATCTGAGGAAACCGAGGCACAGAGGGGAGACTAATCCTAGAAACACCGTGGAAAAGCCAGGGAAGAGGGACTTGGCTTTGGAAAGCTCCTTGCCTGATTCCTGCAGGCTGGGTTGGCTGTCACTACGAACTGGGCCCCCTTTCCAGGCTCCCCCTAGCCCTTCTTCTGATGGGGAGTCCACAGGTGTCCAGGATGGGCAGGGCAGAGGGGAGAGCCACTCAGAATCCTCTCTTGCTCTATGACTCTGAGAAAGTGGCTATGCCTCTTTGGACCTTTACCTGACGTCTTGAGAGGCAGGGCCTGGCCATAGGGATCTTGGTTTCTGCTCTGCTTGCTGCCATGATACCTCGGAAAGTTGTCAACTCCTCTGGCTTTTGGTTGCCCTCCTGCTGGTTACCCCCCAGCCTAAGTCAAGTTTTCTACAAATCTTTGGGCACCTAGGCTCTGAGATTCAGAGAGGTTGAATAACTAGCCCAAAGCTATCAGTAATCTTTGATTTGAATTTTTGGAAAGAAAAATCCCAGAAGAGAATGTAAAAGGGCCAGCTACACAGCGTGGCAGGAGGGAATGGGGACATCTAAACCTTTGGCAGGGGCATAGCTGCCCTCTGTGTCCCCTAGGTCACTGGCTCCTCTTGTTCCTGTAAATAATTAATTAGCCCCTGCTTGCTTGTTTGTTTAGCATGAGGAATGCTCCCCCACTGAGACACATTTATTGCTGAATAAATTTAAATATCTAATCTTCCCTTCATGAATATTACAGCACCCTAAATAGCAGCCAGCAGTCCTCAGTGCCTTACCAGAGTGGTCCCAGTAGAGCCTGCCTTGGCTGGTCTGCAGAGGGTCAGGCTCCAGCTCCTACCCGTGACATGGGATGGCTCTCACCAGCCCTGCTCTGCTCCCCTCTTTGCTGGAGAGGATTGTGCTGGGTCACGGAAGGAAGTGTCTTCTAAGGTCCCACCCTGAATGTTAGGGTGGGGTGTCTGCTCACATTGTTACCAGGAGGATGTCTCTCAGCATCTCCTGGGCCTTGGGGGACTGACTAGACAGGAGAGGCAAGGGCTGGGTAGGGCTCAATAAGAAGCAGGAAGGATTGGGAAGGGCAGCAGCTGAGGAGAGGCCTGGAACAGGAGAGCTCAGAGTGGTGTCTCTGAAAAGCCTTGGTGGGTGACAGGAGCAGACAGCCCTCAGGGCCAACCAAGTGTCCAGAGAGATGAGGGTCCCCAGGGCCTCATCTTCAGGGAGAGGACAGGTGCCAGACTGCAGGAGTGAGGAGGGCCGGGAGACAAAAGATGGTGGGAAGGGTTTGAGAGAAGCAGACAAACACTGGCCCACTGGGGGTAGGGAGGTTGAGGGTGGCAGAGGCAGTTAGGCTCTGAATCCTCAGTGCCCAGTATGTGACCTGAGCCAAGGTTTGCAATCTGTGCCTCCATTTCTTCTATAAAGAAGGGGACTGACTCAGCACCCCAGGTGCTTGCTTCAAGGATGTCCAGTGGGGAGGAGGGGAGACAGCTGGCTCTACTACAATGGAAAAATTTCATCCCAGACCTCGGAGACAGGAAGTGGACACAGGAGGATGAGCAGGGAAGGCCCGGCCTGTCTGCTGACCTGGGGACTGAGCTACAGGCCTGGGTGTTTGTCTGTTGAGACAGGATTTTATCATTTAGTCTAACTGGCCTTTGCCTCCCAGCTGTTGACATTAAAGGCAGGAGTCTCCACACTTTCCACAGGTGGGACATCAAGACGGCATTGATGTGTGGGTGGTAGGGAGCAGGCAGCTGAGACTTAGATTCCAGGACCAGTCTGTTCGGGGGACACAGATGTGCTCACCAGAGGACCTCATCCTTGTTTTGGGGGAACTCTACACTAGGCACTCACAGAGCATCATAGTCGTATGGTCCAAGCTCCACTCTAAAAACTGGCAGGAAGATCCTGCGCCAGCCCTCTGTGTCCTCACACTCCCAAGTCAGCCCCCGAGGCCAGACTGCAGGCCTGTCCGCTTCAGCAGTCACTGTTAAGTCCCTAAAACACAGCTCTCCCAAGATGTACTTCCACATGACCTGCAGCCAGCCAAGGTCACCTGCAGGATGCTTCACACTGGAATAGCTGACAGTGGAGTGTCAGGAGGGTGAGATGCCAGGCAGGTCTGTAGGCTCCAGGAATACAATCTATAGAGATCCCTGTGCACACCTCAGACTCCATGGACTTCCTGTGCACACCATGAGCCTGACGCTGTCATGTTATAGCAAGGGCTAAATCACTTTGTATCTGATCAAGCCAAACATGGCTTAACTAAGTAACAAGAATTATTGGTGTGGTGATGCACACCTTTTTATTTTATTTTATTTTTAAATTAGGGAAGAATGCGAACGCACACCTTTAATCCCAGTACTCGGGAGGCAGAGGCAGGCGGATCTCTATGAGTTTGAGGTCAGCCTGGTCTATGGAGTGAGTTCCAGGATAGTCAGAGCTGCTACACAGAGAAACACTGTCTGGAGAAAGCAAAACACTTGCTGCTCTTGCAGAGGATCCAGGTTCAATTCCCAGAACCCACATGGTAGCTCACAACCATCTGTAATCTCAGTTCCAGGGGAACTCAACAAACACAGTGACATACATCCATGTGGGCAAAACATTCATACACATAAAGTAAAATAAATAAGTAAACCTAAGAAATAATAGTAAAAAGAGTCCAGCATAGTGGTGTACTCCTCTCTCTATCCCAGCACTCCAGTAGAGGCAGAGGCAGGAAGGGTAGGAGTTTAAGGTAATCAGCACCGCTGGGCGTTGGTGGCGCACGCCTTTAATCCCAGCACTCGGGAGGCAGAGGCAGGCGGATCTCTGTGAGTTCGAGACCAGCCTGGTCTACCGAGCGAGTTCCAGGACAGCCTCCAAAAGCCACAGAGAAACCCTGTCTCGAGAAACCAAAAAAAAAAAAAAAAAAAAAAAAAAAAGGTAATCAGCACCAGCAAAATTGAGGCTAGCCTGGACAACATGAGGTAATGTAGTACAAATAAAAAACAAAACACAACAAATAAAAAAGGAGGAAAAAGAACCAGGCAGTGGGTGGCGCATGTCTTTAATCCCAGCACTGGGAGGCAAAGGAAGCAGGATCTCGAGTTCAAGGCTAGCCTGGTCTACAGAGTTTCAAAATGACCGGGGCTACACAGAGAAACCCTGTCTCTGAAAAACCAAATAAATAAATAAATGGAAAAAGAAAAAGGTCAGCTTACTTAGTACTGAGGTGTAGCTCAGCAATGAATTGTGTTCATCTCCAGCACTACTCCATCCCCCAAAAATAATTTTTCCAACATCCTGAGGTGGAGACACTCCTATTAGACCCAATAGAGTGATGTCCCCAGGATCTTGGCTCACCTGTCACTGCTGCTGTTCAGTGCTGGGTCCTCTGTGGATCCCACACAGAACAGATAACACTGTGATGCCTGTGAACTCCAGGCTGCATACAGGCTCACCGGGGCACCGACCCTCAGCTCAGGCTCTGCAGCCCCCTGCAGAGAAGGGCAGGGAGGGGGGCTGAAAGACCCTGCCCTGGCCACTCCCAGGGTCCCCTAACTCTGGGAAAACCACCCAGTGCCAGCTCTGAGGAAAGCTGAAAATTAGGTTTAATTAGGATCCCTAGGGCCCAAGAGAAAATAGCAGAAGAAAGAGGGTGGTGTTCAGTTGGAAGGATGCAGGAAGGAGAAAGGGTCTCCTGTTAGGAATCTGTGAAAATGGAGCCAGGGGGCTTTCACATGATGCCAGTGCAGTCAGGCGCTGGGCTGGGGAGCTTCTCGGCGCCCACCTGGGTTTCACCAGCCCTGCCATTTCAGGGGCCACTGTCCCGTTTTGCAGTTGAGATGGTGTAAAGCAGGAGAAAATCCATAGCAAGCAGGGGCAAACCAGTACTTGCCCCAGCCTGCTTGGGCAAAGCTGTAGGTGCCTGGGTAAATAAATCTGTAGCAGACTTGCCTCTGGGCCTCCGCTGACTCTGGGATATCAAAGCGTCAAGAGTTGTTTATCTGGGCCTGGGTCCCCAGGGTCACAGAGAGCCCCAAGAGCTTCCCCGGGATAAACAAGCCCAAGCCTGGCATCAGTTAAGCAGGATGCTAGTTGCCTCACCAGGGCTTAAGAGTCTAGAGACAACTACGAGGCCTGGTCCAATGGGAAGGATCTGGAAAAGCCAGGCCCAGGTCCCGAACTGGATCTGCCATTAGGAACTAGGTGGCTTCCGTTCCTCAGATGGGATCAAAAGAAGCCTAGAGTTTGGCATGGCTTTGTCAAAAGGTGGGATTTAGGATTCCCACCAGTTCTTAGATCCGAGTAGAGATGGCAAGAGACTTCAGGAGGGCGCGTCCCGAACAGAGAACCAAGAGGGTGGGTCAGGCGCGCCCCCTGCCGGTCACCCGGTGCCTCTTCGCTCCGGGGCCAGCTACCGCTCCTTAGAGCCTCAGTTTCCCTGCATGTAAAACAAGGGCAGCGGGAGGTCTTGGCCTTGTGATGCAGGTGGACCAAGGCACAGATAGCCTTGGAGTTTCTCGGGGTTGGGGTGTCATGCCTGATCCTTCAGGGATGCGGGGAACCCTACCGCTCATTTCAACCCCCCCACCCCCACCCCGCAGTGGACGGCTGCATCCACAGGGCCGCAGGACCACTGCTCACCGACGAGTGTCGCACCCTGCAGAACTGCGAGACTGGCAAAGCTAAGATCACCTGCGGCTATCGACTGCCGGCCAAGTGTGAGTGTACTGGGGAACTGCCCACGACTGTAAGCCGGCATCTTAACTTAGCATAAGGGCCTGGCCCCTTTGAGACCCCAGAGAGCAGATGGGAAGGGTCCTCCTGCCCAGCAGGCAGGACAAGAGGATAGTTACTGTTTTCCACCACTTAGCAAGGTGGATGCGTGGGCGGGCACAAGGGTGGGGTCCTTCTGGCCAGATGTCAGCAGAAACCTGGCCTCTGACTGAAGCTCACTCTACCTTAGATGTCATCCACACAGTGGGGCCCATCGCTGTAGGCCAGCCCAGTGCCAGCCAGGCAGCTGAGCTCCGCAGCTGCTATTTGAGCAGCCTGGCCCTGCTACTGGAGCACCGATTGCGCTCGGTGGTAAGAGTGGCCAGGTGGGAGGGAGGTGACGACGGGGATGTCGGGGCGGCATCTAGTGACCAGGTCCTTATGTCGTCATGCCCCCCCTCCCCCAGGCTTTCCCATGCATCTCAACAGGCGTGTTTGGTGAGTCTGGAAAAGCAAGGTCAGGGTGGGCGGTGAGGGCCCTCATTCATCAAGGTGGGCGGGGCGGGGCCACATCTGGACTCAACAGACCCTGCCCTCAGGATACCCTAATGAGGAGGCAGCTGAGGTAGTGCTGGCTGCACTGCGGGAGTGGCTGGAGCAGCACAAGGACAAGGTAAGCCGGGAGAGAATGGTTGGCGGCGAGGCAGGATCAGGGGCACCCGGTTCTGGGCAGGTGCGGCCAGTCAGAACCTGCCCTCCCCAGACCCACTCCCTTCGTGGACTTATTGTGGGACAGATGATGGGAAGGGGCCGAGTGTGCAGCCTGAACCCCTCCTATGACCAGTACTGTTAATTCTCTTATCTCCACGGACAGTACATCCAATAGTAGGTGGTTGAGACCCTGCCAGGGTGGGTGGGTTTGGGGAGCACAAAGTACTAGGGCTGACAGCCCGCTGGAGACCCCACCCGAGCTGAGCAATCCCTGGCACAGGTGGATCGGCTTATCATCTGTGTGTTCCTCGAAAAGGACGAGGTCATTTACCGAGAGCGCCTGCCCCGTTACTTCCCAGTAGGTATGTGCCCTTGTTTCCCTCCAGCGGCCCCTCAGGCCAGCCTCCCCCTCCCCCATGGCCCTGGGCTGCTCTCACTGTCCTCTGCCTTCCAGCCTGAGGCTCCTGAAGCCCACCCTGAATGGGACTGGTAAGCAGGGCCTGGCCCAGTATGGTGTGGCCACCCATCCTACACTAACCTGGTCTTCTAACACCTGCTCAATCTGCTGTTCCCACCTCCATGCAGTGGGTGGCGAGGCTGGGGAGGGGCCCAGGGCCTTCACAAGTCCTAAACTCCTTTCATCCGTCTGCTCTACACTCAGACCCACCTGGGCCTGTGGGACCTCGCTCCCAACTCTGAGAGAAGCCGGACAGCTTGTTCCAGCCTGGCCACCCGAGTTCTGTCCTTTCCCTCAGCGTGGCCTGCCCTGCCTTTCAGAAGCCTCTTAATAAAGCTGTCTGATTCAGCCTCCCTTGTCTGAGTGCTGGGGTCTGGGGTCTGTTTTTGCTTCAAGAAGCTACAAGAGGCCTGGGTGAGCCAGGCAGGTGAGTGAGGCATTGGCCAGAGAGCAGAGGCGGCGGCAGCACTTCACGTTTATTGAGGGCCTGCCCCCAAGGAGCTCACAGCCTGGGCTGAGACCCCGTATGTGCTGGGGGTGGGGAGAAGGGAGAGGCAGGTAATGCAGATATGGCCCAAGCAAGGGGTGCAGAGCAAGCACAGGCAGGGAGCTCTGGGGAACCGGAAACAGGAAGCCCTGCCTAGACATGAACGAGGCCTTATGTTCCTCCCGTACCACGTCAGTTCTTCCTGGGGCCCAGAGGACGAAGAGCTCCTCCATCTACCTGGACCAGCCTCCTCCCATAACCCTCTCATGTCAGGACTCCTCAATCATGCAGACCCTGGAGGTGCAGAAAGCTGTTATGGAAACCCTGGTCAGAATAGCAAAGCTATAACTCTAAGAGGCAGCTTTGAGTGTGGGTGACCTGAGACCTCCAGCCAAGTTCCCAAGGAACTTCAAAAGTTCCCATGGAAACCCCTGGAAAGTCAAGGAGGAAAGGGGGCAGGGCCTTATGGGTGGGTAGAAAGCACAACTCCAAGGAACCTGGAGGCCTAGCCCCCTCAAACTTCTCTTGGCAGAAATGCTTGGGGGTGGACAGGTGGGAAGCTGAGGGACCCACGCTGGGGGAAGGGACAGCCAGACATACAGCAGCCAGTGGGCACGTAGGGAAGAGCAGCAGAGCAGGGAAACACACTCAGGCTCACACCAGCATCCCCTTTAATAAAACATGGAAGGTTGTGTGACAGGGAAAAGGGAGGAGTGAAATATGACCATTTACAACCACAAAACAAAAAAACAAAAAACAAACCCAAAACAAAATAAAACAAAACCCTCTGTACATGTCTAGTGCCTGGCAGGGGGAGGGAGGCAGGGCGCAGCAGGCCAGCCGGCCCTATTTGTAGAGGATATCGTAGTGTCCAGGCCGGTAGAGAAGGTAGACCTTGGGCTCAGAGCCCTCAGGGAAGACGTGTGGGTTGGTGGTACCGCCCTCACCGCGGTCCATGTACTCTACTTGGATGGACACGTTGAGGGCCTGGGCCAGGGCGATGATGTGGATATGGTCGCTCTCCTTGCACATGGGTTCCACCTCCTGTGGTACAGGGGAAGGTCAGGCTTGTCCCCAGACCCTCCCCTCCCCAGGTCCCAACCTCACCCTGGCATGCCCCACCCTTAAACAAAAGACAAGGAGGGTCCCAGGGCAGAGTTGAAGAGGAGGCGGCACCTGTTGGCAGAACTCCTTGACGGTCCGGCCACCCTCTATGAAGTGCTCGAAGAACTTGCTTTCTCGCTGCAGGTAGCCTGAGGTGAGCAGCCGCAGGTAGACCACAAGGTAGTCTGAGGTGCTCTGGTCATTGAAGGAGGCCAGCAGGTCAGCTACTGAGGTCTGCTTCTCCACCTGCTCGATAAGGTCCATGAACTGCTCCACCCAGGGACAAGAGGTAAGGGGAGGAAAATGAGTGAGGAGAGGCCACCCTTACCACAGCCTACAGAGCCACCCCACCTCTGTGGGCCAGCCTGAGACAGCTAGGCTCACCGTGTTGTGGAAGTCCTCGATTGTGAACTCAGTGAAGCCCTGGGATACCAGGTCCTCTTTACTCTTGGCAGACACAGCCTTGAACCTGTGGGTGGGATGGGAGGCCAGCATGGGCTTCTCAGCCAGCAGAACAAGGGCCTAGCCAGCCTAGTCCTGCCAAGACCACCCACCACCAAGTTCAAAAGGAAGCGCCAAACAACCCAGCTGATGGCTGGCCTAAGGCCCAGATCTATTCATCAGGAGGGCCTGGACCCCCAGTGGCCCCTCACCGCTGCAGCTCCTTGCTGTCATCCAGCAGTGCCTCCAAGTGGGAGAAGCCGAATGCTCGATAGAAGCAGTTGCCATCAGGCCTGGTCTTACGGATGTATGAGTACTTTTTGTGGAGGTCCTGCAGAAGAACAGCCCAGTTTAACATCCAGCCAGGCTAGGGCCAGCCCAAGAAATGGCCATAACAGCAGGTGACAACTCAACCACAGGTTCCCATCTCTAGGCTGCTGAATGAGGGCACCAACTCAGCCACTGGAACAGAGCCCTCCCCTGGAGGCTCCCGGAAGTTGTGCACTTGTGTGTCAACAGGCTGTATGGTCACCAGCTGCTTGCCATGTGGGTGCTACTGGCTGTTTGCTTATGAAAACAGATGACCAAATCTGTCCTTGACTAATGCAACTTTCCATGTCTTCCAGTCCACGCAAGCAAAGCAAGGGAACAGAACAGGCCATACTACCAGCTGCCTGGATGCCTGAGCCCAGCAAGGCTCCAGCCACACAGAGCAGTTCTCCCTAGTCTTGAGACTAACCGAGCTCCTCCATCCACTTTCACCTCCCAACTGTGCTGCCCTAGCCAAGGACAGGGACCACTTCCTTCAGCCTTTCCACTCTCTCCAAATGAAGCCCATCCCCATGAGTGACTCCTAGTGACGCTTGCTAAACAGGTCTCGCTCACCTGGACACCCCACCCCTGCTCTCTAGCCTGTTCCTTCCTCCTTTACTTATCTCTTCAGGCTACCCCTCATCTTTCTCCATTCTAAAGGGCGGGGCTCCCACCAAACCACAGTGTCCTTCCGCAAGACACCTGCCAGATGACAACCCTCAGTAAAGAGTCCCTTCACAGTGACAACTTGGCCCTACACCTGCTTCTTACCTACCCCAATTCTCAACACCTTCAGATTCAAGGACATGAATCTAGTTTACAGATTATAGTTTATAGACCCCTCACGAATGTAAGATCCAGGTTGGTCTCCCAATAAAAACTGAAACTCCTATGGAAGGCTTTTGTCCAACCAAGGTCAAAACAACCTAGAGCTACTAGAGTAGGGTCAATGCAGCCCTCCCCAGTCCAGCCTCTGGAGAGTGACAACACTACATCCCATCTTTTCCTTTACCTGCTCTCTCCCAGGCTGCCCTTCGTCTTTCTCCATCTAAAGACAGGGCTCCTATGAAGCCCCACAGTACCCTTCCTCAAGATACTTGCCACTTACAACACACTAAAAGACAGGGCTTCCTGCCTGCCCTGTGAACACACCAGAGCCTGGACATATCTTCACCTTATTCCACAGATACAGTTTTTTCCTTTCATTTTGGTTTTGAAACAGGGTCTCATTTTGCAGCCCAGGCTGGCCTTGAACTTGCAGAATCAGGCTTCTGAGTGCTGAAATTTCAGACCACCAAACCTAGATCAAGTTCTACCTTTGAAGCTGGGCAGTGGCAGTGCTTGGGAGGCAGAGGTAGTCAGATCTCTGAGTGCCTGAGTTCAAGGCCAGCCTGGTCTACAGAGCAAGTTCCAGGACAGTCAGAGCTACACAAAGAAACTCTCTCCAACCCCACCCCCAAAAGTGCCACCTCTGATGCTCTGCCTCCCCTATACCTCTTCACTCCCACAGCTGGGTTGCACCAACCTGCTCTACACCCAGCTTTGAACCACAGCCTCAGATGCCCCACTTCTCCCCAACACACCCACCAACAGTGTATCCCTCAGCTCTTCCCTCGACACACCCAGTCCCAAATGTCATATTACACAGCCCACTGCTGGCTCACCATGCCTGCTTCTGTTCTATTGCCAAAGCATCTCACCACTCCCCCTGCCTCCACCTTATCCCTTAGTAAGGCCTATTCTCAGTCCTGAACATCAGTATCTTACTGACAGGTCCTTTTCCTTCCTGCACCCTTGCAAGCACCCACACCAAACTGGCGGCTTCTTTTTTTTTTGAGACAGGGTTTCTCTGTGGCTTTGGAGGCTATCCTGGAACTCTGTAAACCAGGCTGGCCTCGAACTCACAGAGATCCACTTGCCTCTGCCTCCCGAGTGCTGGGATTAAAGGTGTGCACCACCAACTCCAGGCTCAAACTGGCTTCTTAAACCACCTCAGTCCCTACTACTCTTGGATGCCCTGTCACTTGTCATCTTGCTCCTGTCTGTTCATCAAACACACCCTGTTCAGGGAGGTTCTTAACCATTACCCCTATTTAAACCACAAACTCTCACATTCCTTTATTTCTCTCCACAGTACTAACCAACTCCAACAACCAAACTAGGGGGATGGGGATGGGGGGGTGTCACAGTGTTAAGATAGCATTTTCTTCCATATGTAGCCCAGGCTGGCCTTGATCCTCCTGCTTCATTCTCTCCTGGGAATAAAGATAGGGGCCACCACACAAACCTTCAGGTTTGTTATCTGTCTTGCACTGTCCCCTGTAAGCATCAGGGAAGCAGAAGTGTGCTTCAGTCCCCAGAATCTGTAGTATCTCCAGCATCTGGGGCGGAGCACATGCCTGGTGAATGTAACATGACACCACACTAAGACTGTCCAGCCACTCAGCTGCTGCCGTAGGGTCCCTGGGCACATACAGTCAGGTACCCGGGGAACGCTCATGCCCACTTCCTCCCGTCCTCAGAGTCCATTCCACAGGAGCCAAGGACACACCCAGCCTGGTCTGCCATTACCACCCAGGAAGAACAGTAGGGCTTGGGAAGAGTAAACAGATGGTCGTTTAGGGTGCTGAGGCACATTGCTGCCAACAGCTCTCTTCAAAATTCAAACATTTTGCTAAGTGACTCAATGACAGGAAGAAGCTGAGAGTATGACCCTGTTGATTTTACAGGGCACCACTCTACTAACGGGCCACGGGGAAGAGTCACTGCTCTCAAAACCCTTGCTAAGCAGCATCAGTACTGAGTCCAACACCTTCCCTGAACTTGCCCCATAGGCTGAAAGTAACTCTAGCCTGAAGTCATATAACTGGAGAGCAGAGACCTAATAAGGTCTGGGCCTTTATGTCTTCACATGTATTTTGGAAAAAATCCTAAACCCCTGAGCAGAGGTATGAGCAGATCACAAACTAGGCATAACTGACCTAGGCTGAAGAGAGTTCTATTTAGCACACACATTTCCCCCAGGTGCTGAGGACTAGGTTCATGCTGTACTGAGCTAGCTGTACCCAGGCCCCACACAACATTAATTCTCACTAACCGCCACACGTTCAGTCAGGAAAGCTCATGAGCGCTGGCTTCTCTAACAGAGGGTGCTTCTTATCATGCCTGCTGCTTGTGCGACAGTGCCCTACCACTGCTCGGGCGCCTTCACTCCCGGGTACCTGCTGAGCCATCTGAAGGCCCCAGCTCCAAACAGAGGATAGAAACACCTACAATCCCCAGGCTGTGTAGTAAATACTGTTTTCAACCAGGTTCACAAGTCAACTCCACTGCTCCCAGCCCTAGCGGTGGCTGGAAAAGAAACTTGCCTCAGTTTGAGTGATGCAACAGGGACACACATAGGGAGCCTGTCCTCACAAAGATCCAACAGACAGACTGTAGGACAGGCCTCTATTTAACCCATCTACCCATCCCAACACCAGCCAAGTTTGTCCCCTGGTTGGGTACTGAATTGTCAGTGCCCACCCAGCCTGCACCTGGTCCCACCTGAGCAACACCTACCTCAACCTTACAGCCACCCTACAGGCAGATGCTTTCACTGTCCCTATTTTACAGATGACATTCAGGGCTCAGAGACACTGAAGGACCTGCCAAGAAGACAGCTGCTGAGTGGCAATCTGATGTGAATGGAGGTCTCAGTCCAGAGGCTGTACATGTCAAGAACCAGCAATAAGAGGTGTGTCCCATCCCCCCACACCCTACCCTCTCAAAGACTAGGCCTGGCAAAAAGCAGGGTGAAACAGGCTTCCTCTTGCCCCTCTGGCCAGGATCCCACCTTGATCTTCTGTTGATAGATGTTGTCATCCTCAGCATACTCCTTGTACAGGACTGAGAGTTCCAGCCGCTCTGACACCAGAGGGTTCTGCACAGCAATCTGCAGGAGGCAAGGATCCATCATGCTCTGGCAAGAAGTTGAGTAACCCAGGCCTAACATCTACAAAAGGGATTCTGGGCTGGTCATTCGGTGGCACAGCAACCCCAATAAGTGCATGGAATGCCTAGCATAGACTGGAGAGGGAGGGCTTCAGAATAGACCGTAGGCCTCAAGCGCTGACTACACACCCCAACCATGAAGTCCTCAGATATCGCCTCCCCAGCCTTCTCCAACCTCTCACCTCTTGTTGAATTCGGTCCTGTTGAGCCATAATGGCTTCATCATAGGCCAAACAGTTAACTCCTAGAAAGGAAGAAAAAAAGAAGTGCCAAGCAAGGGTTACTGTGGGGATCTGGCGATCCATTTCTATGGGAGGCAGCTTTGGCAGAACAGGTTTGGAATATGGAGCCCCATGTCTTCTTATACTCCACTGTGTAATCTCGGCAAAGTCCTTCCTCTTTGGGTTTTCACTTCCTCGTCTTTTGGAGAAGGTAGCTGGGTATGGTGTTACTTGCATGGGTTAGGCAAGAAGATCACAAGTTCAAGGCTACTGGAGTTACTCAAAGCCGGGTCTCCAAAAATAAAATAAAGAGGGTGGGCAGTTGAGCAGCATAGTGCACAGCTCTAAGTCCCAGCACTGACCAGACCAGACCAGGCTGATCAGGAAGTCAGTCCTGGAAATACAGCAAGGCTTTATCTTAGAAGAAAACAGGGCTAGGGTCGAGGCTCAGTGGTAGAAGGCATATTTGTCTTGCAGGTAGGAGTAAAGCCCTGGCTTCTATTTCCAGCAACCCAAAAAGCAGTAACTAAAAAACAAAGTGACAGAATAAAAACCACAAAGACACTCTTCCAACTTTGCTATTCCTCCTTCCCTGCTTCCTGACATTATTTTGTAGCATCCTGGCTGGGGAAGGGAGTCTCTGGGGGAAAGCAAGATGAGGAGGGTGGAGCCCTGGGTGGAAAATGAGAGCATCTCTCCAACATGCACTTTACTGGACTCACCCTATCCTTCTACGGTCCTGAGCATTGCTAATGGTGCTCGTTTTGCAAATAACAAATGCAAAGAGGCGACTCCATCTTGCCCAAGGTCAAAACCAACGATGAGCTGTGGGCATGTCCACATTTGTATTATTCCAGTCAGAGCTCTTGGCAATGTCACTTGCTACTGCACTTCGAAGCCCTCTACCCCTACCTGAAGGGTGGATTAATGCCAGCACCTTGCTCCTATCATCAAAATATGCTGGGATCCTGACAGCACCAAGTAATACCTAAGCACTCTCTAGAGGCATCCATGGATTTGGAAGGTTCATCCTATGGCCCCTACTCTAAGCAACTATTGGATAGGGGTCAGGAGACACTAATTCTAGTCTGGAATCCTTCTTAGATGTGTGATCAAGAACAATTTCTTTATGCGTACTTGGGTTTCCTACTCCTCATTCTCTAGTCCTGCATGTGATGAATGACTTTTTAAAGTAAATCCTTAATCCCAGGTTCTCAACTGAGACTACGTCCCACAACAGGGCCGTCCCTCCCACTCGAGACTCAATCCCCAGAACCCAAGTTCATGGTAGACATGGGCGTGACCGGTTTTTGTTTTAAGGACCAGAGAACTAGGAAAACAATGCCTGGATCTAGTGCTAGGGGGGCTGCAAGGCCAGAACGAGCTCTAAGGAAGAGGGCTGCATCCCGAACGCCCCACCGGGGACTTCATGCTTGGCAGCTCGACGTCACTCAACGCCTTTCGGCTGTCTGGGTAAGGGCGGGCGATTCGGCCCAGGCCTAGGCCTCAGCTTGACTGCGAGGATTCGGGCTGGCTGACTTGGGGAGCCGGCCGAGGCCGCGGGACCGGTGGAGGCGGGGCGGCCCAGGCCCCGCCCCGGGCGTGCACGAGAGGCCGAGCGGCGCACCTCGCCGCCCCGCCCGGCCGGGGGTCGCCGCGGCCCGGCTTCCATTGTGAGGGGGAGGGGAGAGGAGGAGGCGGAGGGCTCCGTGGCACGCTGCGCCCCGTCCCCGGCGGCCCTGCTTCCCGGAGCTCTTCGGGAACGGCCGACCGAACCTCGCCCCCGCCAGCCCGGGCAGGACATCATTCCCTCGGTCCGTACCTTCGGAGTCGCTGCCCAGCGGCTCCTGCTTCTGCTGCTGAGGTTCCTCCGCCGCCATCTTTAAACAGCGCCGCACTGCCGACCGCTTCCGGGTTACTAATCGCCCTCCTCCCGGAAGGGAGCCCCTCCTCGTGGCCCCTCCTTCGCAACGCCCCTAGCAACAGGCTCCCCTTGGCGGTTGTCTGAGGCTGGGCAGCTCCTGCGGACTCTGGAGAACCTGGGGGCCGGTGGCCCCAGGAGACGCGGGTGGCGCGGGCGTGCGCTTCCACATCCCCACTCTCCTGAAGGTCATGAGGTGCTAAGGACCCCCTGGAGTCACTTCTGTTTTCGGTCTCCGGGACTTTAAAACTCAGGTTTAAAACGCAGGTTGTGTAACTGAGATAAGGAGCAAGATGGAATTAAAGTCACTGAAGGCAACACCCTTGCTGCGCGTGCACTCCCAGTACGCGAGCGACCAGAGCTGCAGTGCGGAGCGCGGAACCACCACGAGACAGGAAGTGGTGCCAACATCCTGATGCCCTTCAGCGCCCTTAAATCGAAACCTCTCGGCCCTCGCCACTGAGCCTGTTCTCTGCAGGCTTTGAAGACCTGCTTCGAGCAAGAGGGCATCTTCCCTTGATGTCAAACAAAAAGCCTCGACCTGGTTGAGAAAGCAGGTCCATTTAAAAGCATGGACTTAAATCCATAATCCGAACTCTTGGAAGGTGGAGACAAGGACCAGAGAGTTCAAGGTAATTCTTGAGTTTCAGGATAGGCTTGGCTTCCCGAGACCCTGTCTCAAAACAAACAAAACTGGGCCAAAAAGTAACCATCCTTGCTAATTTTTGCCAAAGCTTCCCCTTTTCTTTGGGTTCTTTTTTTTTTTTTTAAAGATTTATTTATTTAACATACAGTATTCTGCCTGCATGTATGTCTGCAGGCCCGAAGAGGGCACTAGGTCTCATTATAGATGGTTGTGACCCACCATGTGGTTGCTGGGAATTGAAGTCAGGACCTTTGGAAGAGCAGTCAGTGCTCTTAACCTCTGAGCCGTCTCTCCAGCCCTTCTTTGGGTTCTTATCTCTGTACTGTTAAATGGGGGCAGACCAGTAGGAAAAGGAACACTCCCATTTGCAGGCCCGATGTACCCTGAAATGCAAGCACCAAACTGAATTAGCAGGAGGAAGGCATTCATTTATTTGGTTGGTAGCCTTGTAGGGTAAATGGGCTAGATCCCTTTCCATCCGAGCTGCGGCGCTTACAAGCCTGGCTATAGCCAGCGCTGAGCCACAAAGGGACTCCTTTTAATTCTCCAGTGTAGCAGTTCTCTGTCCTGAGCAGCCCCAACCCCAGCTCCTGTATGGATTCCCTAGTTCCAGTAACAGAGACCATGCTGGAGTTGTTTATAGTTCTCCAAGATTAAGAAAAAGCTAGAGGCTGGGCATGGTGCACACCATTAATCCCAGCACCCAGAAGGCAGAGGCATGTGGATCTCTATCTCTACAAGACAGAAGCCCACCTGGTCTACAGAAGTTCTAGTTTACTGAGGGCTACGCAATGAGACTCACAAAACAAACATAAAATGAAAAGCCAAATGGAAATCATGTCTTTTGTTAATTTTATTGTCTATGATGTATGGGAGGATATATATACCAAGATGCTTGTGTGAAAGTCAAAGTACTTCTTTAGGAAATCCATTCTCTTTCCATCTTTTTTTTTTTTTTTTTTTTTGGTTTTTCGATACAGGGTTTCTCTGTATTGTTTTGGAGCCTGTCCTGGAACTCGCTTGGTAGACCAGGCTTGGTCTTGAACTCACAGAGATCTGCCTGCCTCTGCCTCCTGAGTGCTGGAGTTAAAGGCGTGCGCCACCACCGCCCGGCCTCTTTCCATATTTATATGGGCCCTGGAAATAAAACTTAGGTCGTCAGATTTGTCAGGCAGACACTTTACCCACTGAGTCATCTTGGCAGCCCAGGTTTTCCTTAAATATTTTTTGAATTTGTACTTATGTGTATGTATATGTACCACATGTGTGCCTGGTGCCCAGGGAGGCTAGAAGAGGCCTCTGGGGTGGAGCTGGGGCACAGGAGTTGTGAGCTACCCAACCTGGTGGTTTCCACGAGTGCAGACGGACTGTGAGTCTGAAGCCAGCCTGGTCTACAGAGCAAGTTCCAGGACAGTCTCCAAAGCTACACGGAGAAACAAAAAAGCTGAGGACTGAACCCGTGGGTTCTCACATACTAAGTTCATGTTCTACTGCTGAGTGACATTGCCAATCAAGCCCTTGCTTTAATTTTATATTTTATGTATATCTGAGACATGGTCTCATATAGCCCAGGCTGATTTCCAACCCACTTGTCTCCAGCTCCTGAGTGCTGATATTAGAGGCATGGCAGACCATCCTGGGCTTGCTCAACTCTTTAATGTCCATTTATCTGGTGGCACACAGGCATTCTCTTACTCCCATACCATCTGCCCTGCACATTTCACCACTCTCTGCCTTCTGATTATCACAAAGCAGCTAAACCCTACTTGCTGATTTGCCAACAATCCCTAGGACACCCCTACACAATTCCCCATTCCACAAATGTCCAAGGCCAGTGACAAAAACAGGTAATACAAGTTGAGCTGGTGGCTCAGATCCATAGTCCCAACATGGAGGAGGCTGAGGCAGGAGCATTACTGAGTTCTAGACCAGTCTGGGCTACAGAGTAAGTCCCACACCAGCCAGAACAGCATTATGAAATCCTTTATCAAATAGACTGGTGTGGGGCTAGGTGGATAGCCCAGTAGGTAAAGAGTTTGCTGCAAAACCATGAGGACCTGAGTTTAGATACCCAGCACCCACATAAAAGCTGTGTGTGACGGCATGCACCTGTAACTGCAGCACTAGAGGGATGCATGCTTGGGAATCCTGGGGTCTTGTCCTGCCCATCTAGCCAAAACAGCAAGCTTCAGGTTCAAAGAGAACCCCCCCCCAAATAAGAGTGACACACCCACACACACACATACACACACCCATGGCTAGGGACATAGCCCAGAAAGTAGAGTGCTTACCTGATATGTACAAAGAGCTCTGTTTGAGTCCCATCACCACATGGACATGTTATTATTGAATGCCTGTAATTCCAGGACTCTGGATGTAGAGAATCAGACATAGGTGATCATCTTCATCTACATAGGGAGTTTGAAGACAGTCTGGGGTATATGAGACCATGTCTCAAAGCGATAGCTAACAAAACAAACAAAACAATCCAGCAGTGGCTGTTCTTTCAGGGGTCCTGAGTTCAATTCTCAGCACGCACGTAGCAGTTCACAACTGTCTGTAACAGGATCCAATGCCTTCTTCTGGTGCACAGATGGGCTTGCAGACAAGGCACCCACAAACATTAAGTAAGTTTTTTTTTAAGCTGAAAGGCCAGTACCAAGGGAGAAGGGAAGAGATATAGGCAAAACTTGGGGCAAGGAGAGTTAAGTAGGAGAAATGGAGACTCACGACTTCTGGTTAGAGCATTCCTTAGCTGTAGCCCACTTCCTGCAGTGACAGCAGGAAGGCAGGCCTTGTTTGCAGGGCATGTCAGGTCAGGTGATCACACTTGGCCACCCAGATCATCCAGGGTGATCTCCCAGCTCAAGGCTGCAAAATTGCCCTGACCATTAAAAAATTACTTCATAAATCCTAGAATCAGAGAAGACATTATCCTGCCTGTCATTATCTTTACCAACTAGACTAGGTGACTTACTAAGGTCACCTTGGAGTCTCCAGACTCTCAGCCCACCCCCATCATCATTTAAGGGTCCCCGACTTGGTAAAAGCAAGCCAGTGAAAGGTGACAGTTTCCAGGCCTGTGAGGATGACTCCAACCATGACAAGTCAGTGGGAATCTTAAGCCCTCCTTCAGGTCTCCAAGCCAATTGCCCAGCCCACCCCCCCCCACCCTCCACCAGCGCTTCCCCTGAAATGTTAAGCCTGCTTAAGGGCTCAGATCAGGGTCTAGGAATTTATAGCAAATTGGCTTCCTCCAGCCTGAACTGACTCAAGACAAAACTTTGGTTTCAAGCAGTTCTTCTGTGACAGAGTGTCTGTCATCTATTTCTTGAGTTCCAGGGGCGCAGAAATAGGAGTTAACTAATCATTGGCAGAGAAGTGATGTTACCATAAACTGGAACAAAACTCTTCTGGGATTGCAATCTCTCTTCAAGACAGTTCATGGCTCTGAGACGAAGGTATAATCTGTGCCATGGTCAGAGCCAATCTGCACAGCTGAACCTCTTCTGGCAGCAGAGGCTTGGCAAAGAGGACCCTGCCACCACACCTGCCTCCATCACTTCCAAAGTGAGAAAACTGATGACTGATACCCGGCTTTCACCCCACCCTGAGCTGCAATGAACAGGAAGGGCTCCCAATGTGATATTGTGAAGGCTGGGACAGCTATGAGGCCACTTTGGCCAATATTTTTGAGGCCATTCTTTCATTTTTACCCATTTACTTAGTGGATTTTTTTTGTTTTAAGAGAGTGTTGACTGGCCGGGCGTTGGTGGCACACGCCTTTAATCCCAGCACTTGGAAGGCAGAGGCAGGTGGATCTCTGTGAGTTGAAATCCAGCCTGGTCTACAAAATGAGTTCCAGGATAGCCAAGGCTTATTACACACAGAAACCCCAGCGGATAAAGAGAAGAGTATCTTTACTATGTAGTTCAGGCTGGCCTGGAAATCAGGATCCTCCCGCCTCAGCCTCTGGGTGCAGTGCTGGAATTACATACAGGTATAGGTCACACTAGGCTCTCAAGATCCAGCAGCTGTGCCCACCTTATAGCATTCTCTGTCTACTCTGGCAACAGGTTCAGGCAGCTGGTCTACCATCCCTTCAATCTTAAGACACCAAAGTTGCTTTGTGTGAAGGCAACAGCCCCTCAGAAGCAGGGAGTCCTTTAGTACTCTTAGGGAAGCACTTTGACCTAGGGTGTATAGGCATCATCAAACACCATGAAGAAAAGCCAGGCATAAAGGGGATAGAAGGGAGTCAGCTCTACCCAAAGTTTTCAGAAAACAAGCCTTCAGAAGGGCACTAGAAAGCTGTGCTTGGATACCTAGGGCCTAAAATTAGCAGCAGCCCTTGGCTCTTACCTGTCATTTCTGCCCCACTGTCCCAGCCCCAGGTCCACAGGGAATACTGTCCCTGTGTCTATCGGGAAGTCATCCAGCAAAGCATGGAAAGTGAGGTTAAAAGCCGTTTCACTGGGGGGGGCACAACACTGGGGGACCAGAGTGCTGCTCCTCATAGATCCTGACAGGATTCCAGCTTGGTAGGTGCTGCTTCCTATAGACCACATGACTAGAGGCCATCTCTAGCTCCTTGCCTCCCCCTAGCTCCTCCTGAAAATACCAAGGAGGTACAAGGAAGTCCATTCAGTCCATAAGTATTTACTGAGTGCTAAAAGGGGCCCTGAATTTGACATAAAGTGGTAGCAATAGCCAGCATAAATTGCCTTGGGCTCCACCACACCCGCTTCTTGTAAGGCACTGCACATGGATACCCAAGCCAGGAAAGACACTTGGTAAAGGATCTCAGCCTCAGAGCTAGCCTTAGAGATGGAGCCCTATGCATGCACTTACAGAGAGCCAATGAGCTGACACACACCTAAGAACCCTCAGAGCGCACTGGGGCCTGCCCCAGTCAGGTGTTCTTCTGCAGACCTCAATCCAACAGCATCCGCAGTCCCTGTGTGCGGCAGGAGGGCGTGATTTATCTCTGGAGCAAGGTTTAAATTAACTTTATTGTTACAAGGGGGACCCCACCAAGCAGAAGCAATATGTGGTCCCGGTTGTCACGATGGAGACTTCGAGAGGTCATGATTGCAGAAGAGCCGACTGGAATTGAATGGCATGATCCCAGGGAAGGCCAGTCAGGAATGCAGGAAACATGATCAAGACAGGCTGGCAAGAGTGGTCTAGTCACAGGATGAGGGGAGGACAGCTCCCTTCACTCCCGCTTCTTGTAGCTTTCCAGGTGTGACAGGACCCAGCCCGCAGGCAGGAGGCAACAGATGAAACAGGAAGTGAGCCCAATGGTGATATCCTACAAGAAAGAAGAATCCCTCAGGGCAAAGATTCTGTAGGCACGCCCAAGTTTGGTAGTCCTGAGACACCGCAAGTCAGTCCCTCAGGGAGACAGACTAAGGGAAGTCCAGCAGCCCCACACTAAAGAAAGCAACTTGGGCCTGAGCTCAATCCCCAGCGTGTGCGAAGGAGAGACAAAAGACTCTAAGGAGGGGACACTGTTACAGATGCCAAGCCCATTCTCTGCCTTGATATAAAGGTCCTTCTTAGAATATTTATATGGGGGCCTCGATAGGCAGAACTCTTACTATGTACCCCAGGCTTGACCTTGAATTTCATCTCCTGCCCCACAACCCCTAGTCCTGGAATTACACTCTTGTGTCACTATGCCTACTGGGTTGTGTGTGCATGTGTGGCTGTGTGGGGGGTTTTTGATGTGTCTATTTGTGGGTGGAACTTTTCAAGATTTATTTTATCTGCATGTGTGCTGTGTTGGAGGGTGTGACCACAGGTAGTGCTCCTGCTTTCACCAAGGCCAGGAGAGGTGTCAGGTCCCTTGGAGCAGAGTCGAAAGCTTCTGGCTTGTTGCACAGTTGCCAGGACCCGAGCTCCAGTCTCCATGAAGTCATGCACCACACGCTCTCAGGTTCTGAACCACCGCTCCAGCTCCCGGGCTCTTGCTTTGAGACAAGGCCTCTTTATGTTGCCCAAACTGGCCTCAATTCCTGAGCTCAGTCTTCCTGCCTCAGCCTCCCCAGTAACTGGGACTGCAGGCAGACATGACATGTCACTGTTTCCTCAGTGCAAACTCTTACGTTCTAGCCCTAATTCAGTACCCAGTTGCCTGGATTCAGGATCCGCTCTCACTTAAAATAGAAAAGCTCAAAAAAAAAAAAAGGGGGGGGGCGGGGACCTGGGCCAGGCTGTAGCTTTTTAGAAAGCTGTGGCACATGCCTGTAATAAGATGCAGGTAGGATTATCAATTCAAGGTCAAATATGGCTACAAGTGAGGCCAGCCTGGGCTACATGAGATCCTGTCTCAATTTTTAAAAAGCTTAAAAGGTGAAAATTGTCCACATAGCTAAATACCCCTACATCTGTGAGAATCCCAAAGACCTAGTGGGTCCTCTGCACCCCTCCTTGATAAAAATAAAAAATAGCGGCAACAACCATTACCTTCGCTGCCAGTTATTAGACATTCCCCACCAAATATTGGTGGTGTTTAGAGAGGCTGAGCAGCGAGTATGCAACCAAGCAGGGGCTGACGGGCTGATCTGAGATCCAGGAACTTGGCAGAATAATCTAGGGCTTAATAGCATGCGAGCATCTTGGCCCCTCCACGCCCTGCAGACAGGTCCGAGCCAGCGCTGCAGGCCGCCCCCAGCACCCTGTTGGCCCCGCTCACCAGGACACCGAGCTGCTCCCGCGGCGGCTTCGAGTGGACCTGAGCGCGCGGCACCAGGAGGCGCCGGGCCGAGCCAGTCAGGCCCCGCAACAGCAGCGGCGTCAGGGCAGACATGACGGCGCGGAACGACCAAAGACAAGGACCACCGCGCGCCCAAGGTCAGGAAGTCAAGATGGCCACACCAGCCGGAAGTTCCGGCGCTGAAGTTGCCGTCATTACAGCCCGAAACTGTCACGGAAGTGACGTCAAGGCAGTCCCTCGCCCTCCTGGGCTGTTTCTGGCGCGCTCCTCGAAACAACCAATCGACACCATCCTACCCCAGATGGGAGGGGAAATGAGACACCTTTTGTCCCACCTCCACTGTCCTCGAGAGTGACATCTATAACTACCCAATCACGCCAGCGAGAAGTTTTGACTCCTCCCTCCACTCATAAAGCTGTTTAGTATCTGCCAGGCCTCAGCTAGTGACGTCAGGTTCTTAACCAGTGGCCGGCGGTGGTGCACGCCTTTAGTCTCAGCACTTGGGAGGCAGATGCAGGCAGATCTCTGATCTCGGGGCCGTCCTGGTCTATAGAGCGAGTTCCTGGACAGCCAGGGCTACACAGAGAAACCCTGTCTCTTTAAACAAAAACACACACAACATTATCATTTTTTTTTGTATGTGTAAATGTTTTGTTTGCAAGTACATCTGTGCATCATGTGCGTGCAGTGTGCACTGTGACCAGAAGACAGTGGCGGGTCTTCTGGAACTGAAGTTACAGGCCATAGTGAGCAGTCATGCGGGTGCTGGGAACTGAACTGGTTCTCTGTAAGGGCCGAGAAAGAGCCAGGCGGTGGTGGCACACGCCTTTAATCCCAGCACTCTGGAGGCAAAGGCAGGTGGATCTCTGTGAGTTCAAGGCCAGCTTGGTCTACAGAGAGTGCCAGGACAGGTTCCAAAGCTACACAGAGAAACCAAAATAATAATAGTTGGGTCCCAGCCCCCACGGGGTCTCTGGTCAGTCAACAAGTGCATCCTGCTTACTGCCCTGGCCTTGTCTCACTGACAGCCTCATCTAGCAAGAGGAAAACAGGATCTCTCCCACCTGGGGTTTTCCCACTGTTCTGTAAGCCTGTATATAAGACTGCTCCATCTCTACAATAGAGAGAGACCCTTTAGCACTTGCAATACACACACACTCATTCTTTTAGCACAAATGACTGGACATCTTGTCTTTCATTTCCCTATACCTTGGACTTGCTTGCGGCGCAGGCACCACAATAATGATAATAATAATAATAATAATAGGAAGAAAAAGAAGAAGAAGAAGAAGAAGAAGAAGAAGAAGAAGAAGAAGAAGAAGAAGAAGAAGAAGAAGAAGAAGAAGAAGAAAGAAAGAAAGAAAGAAAGAAAGAAAGGAAGAAGGAAGGAAGGAAGGAAGGAAGGAAGGAAGGAAGGAAAGAGCGAACTGCCATCTATTCCGCAGTGTCTTGGGGAGGCAATGCCTCAGGAAACCTTCTGCTGACCACTCCACACCTTTGCCTCCTCCACAGACAGCAGCTGTCACAGAACGAGTCTCTATCCTAAGCCTGGGGGGACACATGAAGAGGCTATCTGGCTACCCACACTGTCTCCAATGACCTGACAATCGCAGACACTGGGAGAATGTATTGTATTCAAGTAGGTAAAAGGCAAAGCAGAAAGGGAGTAGGGAGGGCCTTGGAGCCAGGCCCCAGCAGCACACTGCCAGTTGCCTTCCCCACAGTGCCATGAAGGGTGCTGCTAGCATTTCTGTTTCACCAATAGGGAAACAGGCTGCTCACATAGCCAAGGGCTGCCAAGCAGGATTCCAGGGCAGAGCTGTACCCTGAGGCCACACTTTGAACTGCATACCAGCTGCTGCAGAGAAAGGGTCTCTGCTTCATAAGGGTCTGTTGAGACAGAGTCTTATGTATCCCTGGCTTGAACCCCTGGGACTTACAGGGTAACCCTGAATTCTGACCTTCCTGTACCATCTCCTGACTCTTGTGATTGCATGCCTATACCAGCATGCCCAGTGTATGCATTGCTGAATATCAATCCTAGGAATTTGTGTATGTTAGGCAAAAATTTGAACAAGTGAACTACAATCCCAGTCCTAGAGATGAGGGTTTTCATTTGTTTCCTTGTTTGTTGTCTGATATGCTGAGGCAGGACCTAGCTCTGTGGTCCAGGATGCCTTCAGACTGGTACTCTCAGTCTCAGCTTCCTAGGTGCTAGGATTATAGGCATCCACCACCAACTCCAACTTCAGAAGTTCATTTTACACTCAAGGTCAATAGTATCAAAGACTCTGGCAAGGGATGGGAGCACCAGGGAGAGACAGGGAAGCAAGAGCTTTGAGGAGAACCTTAGCTCCTTGGATGAGGTGGTAGGGAAGTGAATAGAAAAGTCACAATGAGGGGAGGGAGAGGGAACTGGGGTTGACTGTGAAGCAAGCTACTTAAAGTAATAAAACAAGTTAAAACGTGACGACGGACCCAGGGTGTCTAAATTAACCTGATCTAGTTACATCCTCAGTTACTAGCGGCCCCACCTTTCTTTTTCCCTGGCCCTTGGCAAATAGCCTGAGATAGATAATTCTAAATTCCTCACCCCATCTGTAGGGACACAGTTGGAGCTGCTGTCACCAGGGGAGATGATGGGGCAAGGACACTCCTGTTGGCGTTTGGGACTTATTGGGTTCTAGGAAACAAGGGAATAATGTCTAGGTGTGAGCACAGCTTCGAGAAGGGCCTGAAGACACTTCGGGAAGGCTTCTTTGGAAAATGGTACTTTGCCATCAGTTGGAAAGCTTGGGCTCTGTCCCAGGATGTCCTCAGGCCCGTGTCAAGGTTTGTACCACCATCAGGGAGGTAAGAAAGTAGTGTTTGAGTTTTCCCCAGACCTTTCTGCTAAAGTACCACCAATGCTCCTGCCTTCTTTATCCCCCTTGCAAAGTATACCAGGGACAGTCCTCTCATAGGAGAGGAGGAATGGACGAGAGAGAGGGAGGAGGGAGGGGAGAAAGAGAGAGAGAGAATATGAATCAGAAACCATATGAGGGTACTTATCCATATTTGGGACAGTGTATAAACCAGACCTTGGTGGCATTGGCCTGTAATCCCAGCTATCCAGGAAGCTGAGGTAGGAGGATCACAAGTTCAAGACCGGCCTGTGCAACTTAGACTATCTCAAAATGAAAAAAAAAAAAAATAGGGGGCTTGGGGAATAGCTCAGTGGATAAGAGGTCTTCTGAAAACAAGAGGAGCTAAGTTCAAATTCCTAAGATTCACATTTTTAAAAAGTCTAAGGCTAGTAAGCCTACTCAGTGGATAAAGTCACCACAACCTATTTTGATTTCCCACAGCAAAAAGAAAAAATAGACTTCTAAAAGTTGCCCCCACCAGCCGGGCATTGGTGGTGCACGCATTTAGTCCCAGCACTCGGGAGGGAGGCAGAGGCAGGTGGATCTCTGTGAGTTGGAGGTCAGCCTGATCTACAGAGCCTCCAAAACAATACAGAGGAACACTGTCTCGAAAAACCAAAAAAAAAAAAAAAAAAAAAGTTGCCCCCACCACATATCTTCAAATAAACCAAATGTAAAATAAGTGAAAAGCCAGACATAGCCATGTGCTCATAAGGCTAGTGCTGGGAGGACAGATGCATAGGCAGCCTAACAGAAAGTGTAAAGTTCAGTGAGGGAATCTTGTCTCCCTTCATCTGACCTCTACGTGTGTGTACAAGCATGTGTACACACATCTGTGCATATGACGTACCCTAAAAAGGTCTGGGGCTTAGGTTAGTGGTAGAGCACTTTCCTAAAATGCACAATATTTAGGGTTCAGTACCCAATAATGAAGAAAAGGGCTGGAGTGAGGGTGTGATAGTTTCAATGTAATTGGCCCTTATAATCTCAGAGGACGTGGAACTATTAGGATGTGTGGCCTTCTTGGAGGAAAGGGGTCACTATGGGGGCAAGCTTTGAGATCTCCTATGCTCAGGATACTTGCCAGGGTCTCAGTTGACTTCCTGTTGCCTAGAGATACAGGCCTCTCAGCTCCTCCTCCAGCACCACCGCTGCCAGCACTCCACCATGTTTCCCACCATGATGATAATGGACTAAACCTCTGAAACTGTAAGCTGCCACCTCCATTAAATGTTCTCCTTTATATGGATGCTGTGGTCATGGGATCTGTTCACAGTCAAGGAACCCCTAACTAAGACAGAGCACTCAGGGGCTAAGAGCACTGAAGAGATGCTAGGACTTGATGGGAAGGAGAGCTGGTCCCTAGCCCTGACATCCACTTCACACTACTGCTCTCCATGTCTGATGGATAGTGAGCAGAGTGACTAGGGGCCATTTCAGCAGGCTCAAGACAGCACTGAACAGTCTGGAGAGACACCAGGCGTCCTTTACTCCAGCTTATGAAAGGCTTGGACCCAGTCGATACGGAGGCCAATGTCATGGAAAAGTGTCTTTGGGCTCCTGCACTCAGCCGCCTACCAAGCATCCGACCTGGAGCTGCTAAGGAATCAACTCTCGCTCTCCAGTCTTGTCTTAGCCTGGACGCACCTCAGCATATGGAGAAACACTGAGACCTAGGACTGGCAGGAAGGACATGGACTGGTCTTTAGAATCCTCTGTGGTGCCGGGCGTTGGTGGCGCACGCCTTTAATCCCAGCACTTGGGAGGCAGAGGCAGGCGGATCTCTGTGAGTTCAACGCCAGCCTGGCCTACAGAGCGAGTTCCAGGACAGCCTCCAAAGCCACAGGGAAACCCTGTCTTAAAAAAAAAAAAAAAAAAAAAAAATATCCTCTGTGGCTCTCTCAGTGAGGGTGAGGGTAGCTGGGCTTCCCTACATTCACAGGAAACGGACTCCCTAGGTGATGACAGGAGACACCAGGACACACCCAATATGGGGCCAAACAACCTCCTGGCAAAATCCAGGAGGTGGAGGTCAGGGCTTGGCTCACTGGAGGTGCCTGCTTTCTGGGGTACAGCAGTCAGACGGGGGCCAACAGATTTGCTTCTGCCCCTGCACAGTTGTCTAGCCTGGCATCCTAGAATCCAAAAGCCACAAAAAATAAATAATGCTAGTGTAGCCACTTGGGGACTCAGAAGCAGGGAACCCTGACGGTTAACCCCTTCAGGCCTGAAGTGATGAAATTACTGTCTTCACACGGAACAGTGCTTCCAGCTTTGAGAGCAACCACGGGGCTGACACTATAGCTCTTCACTGTGAGCTGGACCCCAGCCATATTTTCCCCTGGTGTGACCAGGCATACTCAGTATCCTCTGGGCCCTTAGTGTGGAGTCCCGATCTGCCAGGGACCCCAGTGACTTGTCCTTCACCTACCACACCTGACAAGAATAGGAAGATGGTTCCTCTTCTGTCCACACGAGTTCTGAGCTCATTCCCACACCACTTCCTGCCTCTGAGCCTGTGCCTGGCAGAAGCTGTGCAACCCTACCAGCTATGCTGCAGAGGTCTGACAGGGCTTACCCTTCCTTTGGGCCTTTTTCTGTGAGAAGACTTCAGAGTCTTTGCTGAAGACTTTTTGATGAGGAATACTCTCGAGTATCGCAGTAAACACACGGACAAAATTCATCCTTCAACTCACACAAAGGACTGAATTCATGTCTGGGTATTGATGCCCAAAGTCACAGTGCCTAGCTCAGGGCCTGCTCCAGGATGCCAAGCAGACAGTATTCTGAACATCCTTGACTTCACCCCACAACTTCTGGGAAATGGTACATACACTTGGGCTCCACTCATCCGAGGCCTCCTTATCAGGAAGGGCGTGGGGCCAGCACAATCATGTGCCTCCCAAAGCCAATGCCTGACATCCACTGCCCATGGCACCCAGCATCTGGACACCATCCCAGCATCTGGACAAAAAGTCTTTTATTAATGACATACAAATAAAACTGACACAAAGAGAGATGCTTTCTTTCCCCCTTTGATTCCAGTGATAACAAGTTGCTGGGAAAAAATATATATATAAATTTATCTTCCAACTTTCCTCTAAAAAAAAAAAACTGAACAAAAAACCAAAAAGCAACCCCACCCTGAAAGTTTTAAAAGGAACCATACACATTTAACAGCAACAAAAATAACCTGAAATGGGATGAGTTCACTAAAACAACAACAAAATCTTTAAAAACATTTTAACACATCCTGGACAAAAAAACAAGAGCCTGGTATAGGAGACTAGACCTTCTTAAAATCATGAGGATGGAAGATGATGTATGCCTGTTAAACCGTTGGGCTCAGCACCCACAGATCTGCTGGTCTTGGCCACCATCCCCATGGTCCAGTGAGAGATCCTGAAGGGCCCTTGGGGATGTGGCCTGCAGAGGGTGAGCAGGGCAGGCACTAAGCACCATGAGAGCCCTGGTGTCAGGTATCCAGTGACTGGAGACAAGACCCTCAATTCACCTCACATGGGGTTATACTTGGGGTTCCTTGTGGTCCCCCTAAGTGGGAGGTATCAGAAATTCATGATCTAAGACAGACAAACATCAGGGAGTAACTCTTCCAAGCATTTTCTGTTTCATGATTCTTGGAAGGAGCCTACCAATCCCCTCTGGGCAGCTTCAACTCTCACCAGAGGCATGGCCCCCGAAGCTAGCAGGCCAGGCAAAGGTAGACCTATTCCAGTGTAAAGCTGCAAGGCCCCTCTGAGGTGAGGCTGACAGGGCTAAGAACAGCACAGGGTCCTCCACAGAGAACAGATCATGGCAAGAAAGGACCCTTGTGTCCACGCTACCATGCAAGCAAGGATCTGAGTGGGAGGTGACTGCTCCGGGGAAACTTGCCAGGAAAGACAGCCTGAGTTAGGCAGGGGGTGAAGTGAGCAGACTGAGGTCAGAAGTCTCAGAGAGCAAGCGCACAAAGGCAAGCTCTTTGCCATGCCAAAGCAGAGCTCAGGGACAGCAAGTGGCAAGTGTGTTTTCCTGGGTGAGGGTTTGGTTTTGCTTCCTTGGAAGAACATGGCCCAGGTCAGGATGAGTTCAAGTTCTAAGCCTGCACTCTCTTCATCCTTTGAAGAAGGCGGCCAGTGTAGGGTGATACCAGGGACAGAAGAGCAGCGGTGAGCCACTGAAAGGCATTCCTGATGTATCCCAGTGGGGCAGGAGAGGCACAAGCGTCTCACTGAGGCAGTGAGGGATGGGGCTGGGGAGAACAGGCAAAGGGGCCTGCTGCTGGCTGGGGCTCCTCAGACAGGGAGGGTGGGGGGTAGCCCTACCTTCAGAGAGCTATCAGCACCAAGAGTAGAAGGAAATAAGCCGGGCGGTGGTGGCGCACGCCTTTAATCCCAGCACTCAGGAGGCAGAGGCAGGTGGATCTCTGTGAGTTCGAGGCTGAGCTGGACCGACAGCCTGGAAAAACAATACAGAGAAACACTGTCTCAAAAAAAAAAAAAAAAGAGTAGAAGGAAATGGTATCAACTGGAAAGAAGAGGGGCTCCCTGATGTTATTCCCCTTGAGACTAAGAACAGAGGTATCTGGGCTGAAGTCAGAGGTGTGAGAACAGGCAGGACTGTGGTTTCCTTCTTGAGTAAAAAAGCTGAGTCAAGATCGTAAGAAATGCAGCAAGATCCAAATGCCCAGAGATGCTGTGTCCCCACAGCAAACACATAAGAGACTGACAGCTCTTCCGGTCTTCTCTGCCTCACTGAGAGTGATGGAGACAGTCTCCCTCCTGAAGTTGGCTGGTCCCGAGACTCCACGCTGTAGATCTATAAGAACACGGCACAAACCCCTGCATCTTGGCATCAAAGAGCTACATGGTCTCTGGAAGAGCACTTGGTCCCCAGAGTAAAAATGTCCAAGGGTTGTTGTGTACCCAGATCTGCATCCAACCTTTCTAGGGACCAGCAGACTCCAGGTCTTTTCACAAAGGTGGGTATTAACATTCCATTTGTCCATATGGAGCATGGTATGAGCCCTGTCAGAAACCCTCCTGCAGACAAGGGACCCACCTTCCATTTTAGGGACCCAAGAGCTAAGCAAGGAGGAGGCAGCCACTGCACAAGGATGGGCTCAGTGGCTAACCTGCCATCCTTCTCACAGTCTGCTCTCCCCCTGTGTTCCCTCCAGGCAATCTGCTTTTCTAGGAGGGGGTGGAAAGGCAGCTGGGGTCACTGCTCCCCAGGGTTCTGTGCTCTCAGGGTATGCCTGGCTCATACAGGGCTAAGGCACCCACAGCTCTGGGGTACCTGGCAAGTGGCTTAAGACCAGGGAAGAGGACAGGCCTAAGGAGAGTGACTTCACTTGCAAATGGTCATGGGAGTTCAGTGGCAACAGCCACCACAGTGCCCGCCTGTGTGGGAATGCTGACTGTCCCCAAACTTGGTCCTCCGGCTCAGAATTTCGTAGGAGCAGTCCTCCCCACAGCAACCAGACATGCTGGGAGAAGAGTCATCAATTTCAAACCTGCAAGACAAACCGGAGAGAGGGTTGGCTGCTGGCTTTGCTCCTGAGCTGAGAACTTCTGCAGCAATTCTGAGATCTCTAAACTGCGGCACAGGGATCAAGTCATAGGGCACTGGCACACCATCTCACAAACCCCACTGACTAGATTAGGGTGCGGACAAGCAGGTACCTGAGAACCAGCAGAGGGAGTACCCTAACCACCCAGGACCACATTCCTTACTGCAGTGCCTCTCGGAAGAACTGATAGGCGCCATGATTGTGTTTAAATACAGTTAGCATCACCTTCTTCATCTGTGTGCTGGAAGAGAGCAGAGTGAGCACCTTTTAGAGACAGAATCAACGGGTTAGAGATGGTTCAGCAGCGAACAACACTTCTGAGTGTGGGATTAAAGGCCTGGCCCAAGACATATTATTATTTATTTATTTGTTTGTTTGTTTTTGGTCTTTCGAGACAGGGTTTCTCTGTGGCTTTGGAGGCTGTCCTGGAACTCGCTTGGTAGTCCAGGCTGGTCTCGAACTCACAGAGATCCGCCTGCTTCTGTCTCCCGGTTGCTGGGATTAAAGGCGTGCGCCACCAACGCCTGGCTTCAAGACATATTTTTAAAAAACAAAACAATACAAGGCTTGGAGAAACGTCTCAAGGGTTAGGAATACTGGTTGCTCTTGCAGAGGAACTGGGGTTTAATCTTTAGCCCTGACACAGTAATGCATAGCCATCTATAACTCTAGTTGCAAGGAATCAGACACCGTCTTTGGGCCACGCACAAACATGGTGCATATACATACACAAGAAAACACCCATACAATCATGAAAATAAAAAACAAGTTAGGAGTCAGCGTTAGTGGTGCACACCTTTAACCTTTAACTCCAGTACTTGGGAGGCAGAGGCAGATGGATCTCTTTAAGTCCCAGGCCATCCCGGTCTACAGAGTGAGTTCCAGGACAGCAAGGGCTACACAGAGAAACCTTGTCTCAAACAACAACAACAAAATAGACACACACATACTCCAACAGCAACAAAAAGTGCATTAACAAACAAATATAGAACACAGACTAAGGTCAGACCTCCTCTCACTCCCCCTTCCATTTTGCCTCAAAGAGTCCTCCAGCCCCTCCTCCCACCTGCAGAGGCCTCGGACACCATGGCACTGGATCCCTCTGCAGGTTAGTCAGAGTGCCTCAGTGTCAGGGATCTGCCCCATTTGCCCTCTAACCTTGAGCCACAGCAAAGCAGGGTCAGCTCTCTGACAGGGTCTAGATGCTTTTTCCCCCGCTGAGAAAGCTCAAGATCAGTAGCCTGTGGGTGCAGCAGCTCTTACCTGTTGGCCATGAGCTGCAGGATCTGAATGAGGAATTTCCCTAGGCCTTTCCGCCGCACCTTGCTTTCCAACTGCACTTCGTAGCTAACAAAGAAAGCAGAGGGTGAGTGCATAGAACAGTGCCAAAGAGAGGGTCCGGGCCCCAGAGGAGCCACAGCCCCAGGCAGCCCTCAGCCCCCGAGAGGCTCAATGGTGCTGCCACTTGGTCTCCCCCCCTCTACCCACTTTAGGCCTCAGTTCCTACCAGTACAGGACTTCATCCCCGCACTCCACATCAAACCGGAAGTGAGAAAAGGCAACTGGGATGGAACTGTTTTCCCAAGCAATGAGGTACCAGGCTCGGTCATCAGTCATTTCCTCCCGCTTCTCTCGGTCCTTCCAGCCCCACTCACTTTGCTCATACCTGAGGAGTTGTGGCAATCAGGACAGAGGACCTTGGAAAAAAGCCACAGGGGTGCGGGGCTGCCCTTGGTCGGGCATGCTTACATTGTCTGCATATTGGTTTTGGTGAGGTCAAAGGCCCAATCCACAGTGGCTGGCTCCAATCCAGACACCCGCTTACATTCAATGGAGACATTCAACCTGAGAAGGGGACAGGAAGGCATCAGGCCTAGTGTTCTCACCAGGACATTGCTATTCCTCCATGCATGTCTGCCAGGGAGGCATGCCAGTCTCAGGCACCCTACAGGGCAAAGTTAAGTTCTCCAGACCTAGGATTAACAACTGTCATCATATGGCCACCACCCTGCCTCGGGGCTATTTCCTGCCTCACCTGTAGTGTCTTTGAAATTCACTCTGTCAACTGCTCTTCTTGGCTATCTCCCTGCTTTCCCCTACCTTCTCAGTCTCCCCAGTTTCTCCCTCCCTCCCTCCCTCCCTCCCTCCCTCCCTCCCTCCCTCCCTCCCTTCTTTCTTTCTTTCTTTCTTTCTTTCTTTCTTTCTTTCTTTCTTTCTTTCTTTCTTTCTTTCTTTCTTTCGACAGGGTTTCTCTGTGTAGCTCTGGAGCCTATCCTGACACTCTGTAGACCAGGCTGGCCTTGAACTCACAGAGATCTGCCTACCTTTGCCTCCCAAGCACTGGGATTAAAAGCATGCACCACCACTGCCCGGTCTGTCTCCTCAGTTTCTAATAATTACCAGAAACACTCTGCTCCCTAACTGTTTGTAAGCACTTGTCCTGCTAACTGAATCTCTGCTCCCTCCTCTCACTGACCCCTCACAGGACCAGGTCCCTCTTAGCTACCTATCATCCCTTCAAAGCAGCTGGTGACCTGGCCTTTCAAGAAGACTACAGCTCAATACCCTCCCCCAGCCCAGTCCCACCTGCTTCTTCCTCATGACACCCAGTGGCGACTGGGCTGATTACATAGGTGGGACAGGGTATAAACCATTGCTCTAGGTATTAAGATCCCCTTTTTCAATGAGGTTGAGAGGAAAGCTCAAACTTTTAAGGAAGAAAAAAAGTTGGGGGAGAGGGACTCGAGTAATGAATGGCTCAGCAGTTAAGATCAATGGCTGTCTTCCAGCAGCCTGAGTCTGACACCCAGCCCCCACAGCAGGTCACTCAGTGGTTATAGCTGGAGCTCAGAGCCAATCTGATGCACCTGACCTCAGGATACTTGCATACATATGATTTAAAGTGAATACAACAAGCCAGGCGGTGGTGGCGCACTCGGGAGGCAGAGGCAGGCAGATCTCTGTGAGTTCGAGGCTGGGCTGGACCAACAGCCTCCAAAACAATACAGAGAAACCCTGTCTCGTAAAAACCAAAATAAATAAAGTGAATACAACAAACCCTGAGTGTGGCGGCACACACCTTCAATCCCAGCACTCATAGGAGGCAGACATTCAGATCTCTGACAGTTCAAAATCAGCCTGGTCTACACAGCAAGCTAGTTCCAAGTCAGACAAGGTTATATAGTGAGACTCTGTCTTGAAACATGCACAAAAAAGGTGTCCCAGGAGACAATTATTAGAATGCTAATAAGCACAACTCACCCATTGCGGTCATACTTCTTGAAGACTGGGAATGCTTCCAGGGGGTCTCCAAGCTGTGGAGAGAAAGAGTAGACAAAGATGACGAAGACACTGGTGAGGAGGCGTGAGACCTCTGTCCCCCCCCCATGGACACCCACACTCATATGCACACAACCCCCCACACACAATCGGGAAAATAGCAATGTGAAATACAGCTTGATGCAGGAAGGCCACCATCAAGGTCAAACCCTTAGGCTCAGTCTAAAAACTCCCAGGCCCCCTCAAGAGCTGATTCACAGCTGCTCTTCCTCTGACTACAGCCCCAGGGACCAGACAGCTGAAGCCTCAGATAAAGCGTAGCCTACCGCACCCATGGGTAGCCAGCAACCTTTGAAAGAAGGAAGGGTTAAGAACACCATGTACCATGTCTCATGATATTTCCTCGCTCAAAAGCAAACTAGCAAAAAAAAAAAAAAAAAAAAACCTCCCTAAATTCCATATCAGGAAGACCTGTAGCCTCTTCACACTTCCCTCAGCTGGCTATAGGTCTGCGTGTACAGTGCTGCAGATCTGCCACTGGGTGGCGCAAGGAAGTCAAATAAAAAAACCAAGCTAAAGTTGAGGGAGGAACTGAAAAGGAGTCACCCTGTTGGCAGCATCCACTTTGGCACAGACAGCATCCATGGCCGCCCGCTCCTCCAGCCGCTTCTGCTTCTTCTCCTTGGCCTTGCTCGACTTTCTCTGCAACAAGGAAAACACTAACACTAGAAAGGCTGTGGCCCCCTCTCTCAGAGGAACCCAAGGGGCCTGGCACCCATTGACCTGGCCCTGCAACAGGGCATCTGGGTGTGTGCCCCAGCAGGGCACACTGTTCTCTCACGGTCCTGAGTCAAGGAGGAGAGGCAGGGATCACCAGACTTCTCAGCTTCCTCCCAGGAAGAGCACTCAACAGCTGTGTGACGCCAGGAAGTGCTGACCATCACCATCCTGCAGCCTGTTGGCCCAGCAGTGATGCATATTCTTAAGGAGGAAGCACCCCACTTTCAGCAACACTTAGGGGAGCTTCCTGGGATCTGAGGTAGCCGAAGACGACTGTTCCTTTGTCTTCTGACTATGACAGACAGACAGCACTGTGGATTCAGGGTCACATCACATGAAGGCCAGGGCACTTTGGCTTCAAGACACAGTACAGAGCCACCCCCAGAAGCTCTGCCCGGCAAACCAGATGATGGCAAGCACTCCATGCACCTGGTAATGACAAGGCTGGACTGAGGGCCTCATGGGTTCACCTCAGGGAGAGGTGCTCGTGTCAGCAAAACCAAGCTGCAGAGGCATGATAGCAGGGATGGGCAAAGGCAAGTTGTCCCCAGCTGCATCTTGACCAGACCCTATTTGAAGGCTAATGTGGGGCTTTCTCAAAATCCCTACTTCACTGTGTGTGTGTTGTGATACTGTAGCTCAGACAAGCCTCCAACTCAACAGTAATCCTTCTGCCTCAGCCTCCCAAATCTAGGATTAAAGATATGAACCATGCCAGGCGTTGGTGGTGCACGCCTTTAATCCCAGCAGTCGGGAGGCAGAGGCAGGCGGATCTCTGTGAGTTCGAGGCCAGCCTGATCTACAGAACTAGTTCCAGGACAGCCTCCAAAGCTACACAGGGAAACCCTGTCTCGAAAAACCAAAAAAAAAAAAAAAAAAAAGATGTGAACCATGGGCCCAGCTTCATCAAAGGTGTTTGTTCTTCTTTTCCTGCCAGATCCTAGAATTAAAGAGCCTCATGCCTTGGTCTGAGGGTAAGGCTTGCTTCCAATACCTACCTGCTCGGTACTTTCATAACTAGGGCTACAGAAAGGTGACAGCTCCTGTTCCCCATCCAGGAAAGAAAGACCAGGCAGCCCTACCTCTCCTACAGCTCACTGGAAAGAGGTCAAACACCACCAATGCCAATGTGACCGTGACACTGCCTGGGCCCCAGGACAAGGCCCTGAACAACCCACATTCGCAGAAATTGAAAGCAGCTGTCAGACAGCTGGGCAAGTTCCAAAGCACAATTTCAGCTTGGATGTTCTAAGGAACAGCAGCAACCAGAAGGTAAAAGAATTAGACACAGAACTCAAGATTCTGACACGAAAAACGCCAGCAGCATCTACTACTTCCCGGCACTAGCCAGGAGCCAGGCTAGCTCATGTCTCACTCCCCTGACAAAGGCACACACAGAGAGTAGAGCAGGATTTTGTCTTTGTGGTGCTGGGGATGGAACTCAGGGCCTTCTGCATGCCAAGTCAGTGATCTAACACGTAGCTACACCTCCAACCCGAGGCTGCCTTCACAGAGATGCAAATGGGAGTAGAAGTGGCCCCTCTTCCAGACAGGTTACCAGTATTAATTTTTCCTCTGGGAATCTGGGCTTCAGGACAACACTGAAATTGGTTAACAAACTTTCACAGAATACATGATTCAAGGCTCAGAGCGGAAGCCATCACTTACCTTTACGCCTTAAGAAACTGAGGCCCAAGGGAATAGGACTCATACAGTGCCCCAGGCAGTAAGTAGCCAAATGACAATAACCTCAGGGGCTAGAATACAGATGCAGTGTTTGTGCAGCAGGGCCACCATCTCCCTCCCAAGGGCAGAAGCACATCCAGACTTCAACTCAGTCACCAAAGACCTTCTCATACTCTGCAGAGATAAAGCTGGAGGCCTCAAGTGCTCTCAGGCAAACACTCATTTCTTGTTGCCTATCTACCTGGGAATCAATTTCCAGCCGTGTCACCCTATACCCTACCTCCATGCTAAGGCAGAAGCAAGGCAAAGGAAAATGACAAGACAAAAGTCTCCAGAGCTTCACGATGGAGTATCAGCAATGTGAGCTTTCCATCAACCAGACCAGGCTATGCCCCATCTACCACCCCCAAATGACCATCTGAACATCTCCAGGAAGACTGGGATGCAACACATCTCCCCCTTCTCCACTATGGCAAGCCAACATTGTTGGACTATCGGGATTGTCACATAACAGTGTGGGGCAGGAGTAAAGGTGATGGAAGGCAAGTGTGGATCCCAGGCCCCCAAAAGCATGAAATCTGGGTTCTCTCCACATTTCTGAACAGAGCATAGCTCCTAAGACTTGTTATGCAGGCTGACTGGTGAGCCAGGATCCCTCAAATTGAGGCCCAAGGTTGCCACCACGGAGACTAAAATAATGAAAACACTCCTTAGGCACTTGGCTGCCAGCACAGAGTGAGGGGTGGATGCAGGCTGGGCCACACAGGCAGGGGCTCTCCCTCAACCCCAGCAAGCACCAGTTAGAGTGGTCTCCCACTGTTCCAATTAGCTTCACTGCAGCCTTGTGGAGGTAAGGCTGTCCTGCAGGGACCAGGGAAAACTTGCCTAATTAAAATGGGAAATAAGCACATTGAACAGTAAAGCTCATTGTGGTTAAGTGTCTTTCCCAAGGGGGCTTTATATAATAAAAAGAGTGTGGATTTTGAGTCAAGGGACCTGGATTTCATTCTCAGCTCTTTTCATTTAACAGCTGTGACTTTAGGCATGTTACTTAAAACCCTTTTGGCAAGTTACTCAATCTGTCAAAACCTCAGTTTCCTCAACCATAGAATGGAACTGCTATACAGACAGAAACTTTTTGGTTGTACCTGTGCTAGGATCCAACCTCTTTCACAGCAAGGAACCACATTACACTGGGCTATATCTCAGTTTTAGAAATGGTCTGTTTACAGGAACCCACTAGTGATGGACACTGTGCTGGTGCATTTTTCAGGGGTAGGGACACCCCAGGTTGGTCCCTAACTTGCTATGTAGCTAAGAATGACCTTGAACGTCTGCTCCTCCTGCTTCTACTTCCTGAGTGCTAGAACTACAGACCTTTGTCACTTCACTCAGTTTATATAGTGCTAGGGATCAAACCCAGTGCTTCATGCATGCTAGGCAGGCATTTACAGAAAGCTAAATATCCCTAGCTCTCTGCCACTGCTTTTCTAAGAAGGATGTGTTTGATAGCTCAGGTGTGACAGGAAATCTGGGCTTAGAGAAGCTACCAACTCAAGTCATAGAGCCAGCAGCATTCTGAGGTTTTACCAACCTCCCTTGAACTCAGCTCCACCACTAGGGGTGGAGCTACCTACTTTGTGTGCATCCCTCCCATGACATCACACGTGACTCACCATAATACTACGTTAAGTACCGCTTTCACTGGGTGGCTGCAGATCTGATCCCTTTACTATTCTTGTGAAAGCAAGAATAGTAAACTCTACACAGTTCTAAGAGGCCCGGAAATCACAAAGAGAAATAAGAGAGAAAAGATAAAACAACAAACAACACATAAGTGGCTGCTCCTAGAAAAGATTTGACATCACTTAGGTTTTGGTGTCAATGTTTCTGTCTAGCTGGTTTTGGCAATGCGGGAGAGAGCGAATGTTTACTCAAACCCAAGCAGTTGGTGCACAAGAACCTTGGGAAAGCCAGGTGGTGGTGGCACATACCTTTAATCCCAGCACTTGGGAGGCAGAGGCAGAGGCAGGAGAAGCTCTGAGTTCCAGGACAGCCAGAGCCAGAAAGAAATCCTGTCAAAGAGGGGGAAAAGAACCTTGGAGAGGTGAGAGGTGTTTCACCTGCTGCCACTCTCACTTAGCCTGAGGTAAAGAAGCAGGGTACCACCTCCTATGGGAATGGGGGGGGGGCTACATGGAATACCAATTTCCAGCCCTGCAGGTGGGGCATAAGGGTGGGGCCTGATGAGAGTAAAGGGAGAACTCCAGATCTAAGCCAGTGAAGGTTAAGTAATTCAAGTCTCTGCCACTTTTCTAGGCCAGGGGACACTCTGAAGGGGCTACGTGAGAAACATCTCCAAAGCATGAGCAACAGAGTGGGCCCAAAGGAAGTGTATCTGGGTCCTCCTGCCTCAGTGCCACCAGTGAGGAGGGAGAGCCGAGGCATGTTGCCTGCCCTTCTTGCTGAGTCTGAGCAGAGTTACTGAGTAATACTAAAAACTTGGATTTTATTTTGTTTCAACAACAGCTGGGGCCTAGGACCACTTACTAAGTCGAAGTTAAACATGCCAAGGTCTCTAAGCTTCATTTTCTTCATATTAGGTAAACAGCAACGAAAATTACTGCCTGAACTATGACGAATGCTTTGGGAGGTTTGGGTTTTGTTTTTGATGCTGGAGGTTGAACTCAGGGCCTTATACATGCTGAGCACATACTCTACTACAGATCTACAGAGCTATATAAGCCCAGACCCCCAAGGTTGGTTTTGACACAGGCTCGATTATTTTCATCTGATAAACTGATTTGTTTGTGAAAAAAAGAAAAAAAACTAGGTTAGTGACAAGACAAACCCAAGGGGATAAAAATAGCACCAATCTATCTTAGATCACTAAAGTGAGATTGAGAATGCAAGCAAAATAGCAGCTACTGCTTATAAGGCACCTAGTGGGCCATTTACATCCATTATCTTGTCAGATCTTCAGCACTCTCTTAAAGGAGGTCCTGGGCATCACAGATGGGGAGAATGAGATCAAGAAAAGCCTCATCACGTGCAATGTCAAGCTGCTAGTAGTCACTGAAGATGCGAGTTGCCACTGGATCATTCAGTTCCAAAGTCAGGACTCCCTAACGATGCTGCAAATTCCACACAAACCGTAATAAGCCAGGATCAGGAACGGCCAGTTTCATTTTTAGGAGGCTGAACTCACAAACAAGAGACTGCTTTTGCCCAACTAGATCTGCACATTCCAGGAAGGGACATGGAAATGCACCTTCTTACTGCCAGCGCTTAACAGGTGGTTACTATGCATCCTGGGGGGCATCACTAGTGCTCCATACTCCCTGCTCATCCGTACATCTCCACACACACACACACACACACACCCCGTTGCAGCCACCTGCAGTGACATGACTAAGAACAATCCAACCTTTTAAGACCCACTTTACTGCGGCCACGGGCTGAACCGGCAGGCCTCAGTGGGAAGGGAGACTCTATTTTATCAGGAGCAGGAGGAAGCTGGTAACGGCGGTTCAAAAGTGTAGCGGAACAGGCTGGGCTGAGGCTTGACCAGAGGGAAGCAGATTCCACTGGGGCTTCAGAGAGCGGGATGGGGTCCAGCGCCCAAGCCATTGTCAGTGTGACCTTGGCCGTGCGCCTTCTTGCCTCCCGGCCTCAGTTTCCTACAAGTCCAAGTTGCAGGAAACCGCTGGGACCGTGACAGCCAGATGATGGGTGACCTCAAGGAGCAAGGGGCTATCCTCAGGGACACAACGGGGCTCGGGAATGGGGAGGCCCACCAGGAGGTCAGAAAGACAGGAAGGGGCACGAGGGGCCGGAGGGCGGAGGGGAAAGGGAGAAGGGACTCCAAAAGGATTCCTGGGCTAGGCTCAACCCGGGGGCCCTTACAACAGGGGACTCTGGTCAAGTGGGGGCCGGGGTCACGTGAGGCTGGAGGGGGGTCAGGGTCACGTGAGGGGATTCAAGAAACAATGAGGACGCGGAGGATGAAGAGCAGCTGTGTACTTCCCACTACTTCTCCAGCCTCACTTACCCCCATGGTTGCGGCGGCGGCGACCCTCGGCTCCTCCTTCTCGCACTTGCCGGTAGGGAGGCGGCAACGGCGGCGGCCGAGCGACAGCGGAGCGGCGGGCCGCACAATGCGCATGCGCTTCACGAATCCCTCGCGCGTCCTAGCGGGCCCCGCGCCGGCGCAGAACCGGACAGGGGTGGGCGGTGAGCGCGAAGGCGCGCAGGTGGAGCGGTCGCCGTGCGCGCGGAGGGCCTGAGACCAGAAAGGCGGGAGGCACGGCGGAACGTCGCGTTAGGAATGACGCGCACGCGCAGCCCCTCCCCTTCACCAGTACGCGTCTGTAGCTATGGAAACGACCACGCGGAGCTGAGCAGGAGGGCGCGCGCAGGCCTGGAGCCGCGCGCCTCGTAGGGGCTCAGAGGGCGGTGGCGCTGGCCGTCTTCGCGGGCGTGCGGGCACAGATAAGTCTCTGGAGGCGTTCCGGCCTTCTAGAAGCTGATTCTCCGCATTGCGTGCCTTTTCTAACTAGTCTTGCTATAGTCATTCATCCTGCTTGACATTCATTCAGATAGCATTAACGTGCACCTACGCTGTGCTGAACCCAGAGGACACAGAAGTTACTGCAGTCCTAAACTTCGCTGTTTAGAGGGAAAATGGGCGTGCAACTACTGTGTAAGAGTTGTTTCAAATAAGACCTCAGGTGTCCTGGGTCGTATTCATTTCAGTCTGCAAATACCTGGGGAGTGTGACCTTCTCACACCTGAGGATATAGGGCAGTTTGCAAACCTGGGACTAACCCTGGAATCTGGGGTAGGGAGACATGTATCAGAGATTTGACTTTCTTGTGATTTTTGTTTTGCTTGGTTTGGTGTCCCCCTTCCCCCGCCGCCGCCTGGTACTGAGGGTCGAATCCAGGGCTAGAGTTCTGTCACTGAGCTACACCCCGCCCCCACGCCAGAGTCTTCACTGGTGAACAACAAAAAAAATTAGAGAGCCAGCGCTCCATACTTAAACTTCGTGGATTTTTCAGATTTTAATCGTTATCCTACGTTTATTGCTCAGAGAAGTTGTAGCCCTGGCAACATTCAGTGAGTACGTACTTCACCATAGGCTGTTCTGGGCAGCAAAGAAAACAGTGCCAAGCCAGGTGCGGTAGCTCACACCTGTGACCCCTCACTATAGAAACAGGAATGTGGATCCCTGGGAGCTTGAGGTCAGATTGGTCTATATAAGTTTCAGGTCAGCCAGAGAAGCTTAGTGAAGCTCTGTCTCCAGAAAGGAAATTGGAGATGAGAAAATAAAAGAAGGAAGGTATGGCTAAGAGGTTACGACCACTGACCGGAGGCTCATCCAGAAGACTGGGCTTCACATTCCAGCACTCAGTGTGTGGGCTCACAGCTGTCTGTAATGCCAGTTAGAGGATCTGACGCCCTCTTCTGGTCTTCATGGACACTACATGCACATGGTACATAGAGATACATTAAGGAGCCGGGCGTTGGTGGCGCACGCCTTTAATCCCAGCACTCCGGAGGCAGAGGCAGGTGGATCTCTATAAGTTCGAGACCAGCCTAGACTACCAAGCGAGTTCCAGGATAGCCTCCAAAGCCACAGAGAAACCCTGTCTCGAAAAACCAAAAAAAAAAAAAAAAAAAAAAAAAAAGGAGACACATAAAATAAAAATACATTTTTTGAGACAGGGTTTCTACATGTAACAGTTCTGGCTGTCCCGGAATTCACTTTGTAGACCAGGCTGGCCTCGAACTCACAGAGATATGCCTGCCTCTGCCTCCCAAGTGCTAGGATTAAAGGCATTGACTGGCCCAAAAATATAATTTTTAAAAATTTAAAAAGAGGCCGGGCGTTGGTGGCGCACGCCTTTAATCCCAGCGCTCCGGAGGCAGAGGCATGTGGATCTCTGTGAGTTCGAGGCCATCCTGGTCTACAAAGTGAGTTCCAGGAGAGCCTCCAAAACAATACAGAGCTGTCTCGAAAGACCAAAAAAAAATTTTTTTAAAAAGAGGGGATGGAGAGATGGCTTAGCGGTTAAGAGCACTGAGTGCTCTCCCAGAGGACCCAGGTTCGATTCCCAGAACCCACATGACAGCCCACTGTTGGCTATAACTCCTGTTCCAGGGGATCTGATGCTTTAATATAGAAATACCTGCAGCCAAAGCACCAATGCATATTTAAAAAAATTAAAAAGAAAGAGAAGGAAGGAAATAGTACCAAACAGGAAAGGCATTGTTAGTATTTTCTAGAAATGAGATAATAAATCAACTAAACAAATAATATACATAGAACATTTTGTGACCTAGGTTCCATGAAGGGAGATAAGGCATGTCAGGAAAGGGCAGAGTTTATAGTTATAACTAGGATGCTTGGGGAAGACAACATGAGTTGACCTAAAATCTTTAGGGAGTAAGAGAGCAAATCATAGCTGGGCATGGTGGCTCATGCCTTTAATCCCAGCACTAGGAGAGACAGGCAGATCTCTGTGAGTTCAAGGCCAGCCTGGTCTACAAATCAGTTCCAGGACAGCTAGGGCTACACAGAGAAACCCTGTCTCAAAAACAAAACAAAACAGAGAAAATTATGAGGCTACTTGGGAGCAGGGCATTGAGGGGGTGGGTATATCTCAAAGAGTCCAAGCTCCTTCAGATGGAAACACTATTGGCATGGCCAGACTGGAGAGATGACTCAGAGGTTAAGAGCACCTCTTCCAAAGGTCCTGAGATCAATTCCCAGCAACCACATGTTCTCCCCCATCTGTAATGAGATCTGGTGCCCTCTTCTGGTCTGCAGGAGTACAGGCAGACAGACCATCATAGACATAAAAATCATATATATATTATGACCAGGGCAGATGGGAACTGCAGGAGGATAACATGAGGTGTTCAGGCAGGTACTAAGTGTTTCCTTTGGCGCTCATAGGCTTGCAAAGACTTGAGGACTTAGAATACCATTGGAAAGTTTTTGTGGAAGAATCCCCTAGCTGGTTTAGGTGTTCAGAGGCCCACTGGGCTGTTGATTTAACAAGGAGGGAAAAGAGTCAGTGCAAGGCAAGGAGTGAGTCTGTACCCGGCTACAGACGGGAAGGAGAAGGTCAGGAGGTAATGTGTATTTCAGGCAGACACAGAGGATTCGCTGGCAGACTGGATGTAGGTTGCAGGGAAGCATTAAGATCCATCTCGCCGGGCGTTGGTGGCGCACGCCTTTAATCCCAGCACTCGGGAGGCAGAGGCAGGCGGATCTCTGTGAGTTCGAGACCAGCCTGGACTACCAAGCGAGTCCCAGGACAGCCTCCAAAGCCACAGAGAAACCCTGTCTTGAAAAACTAAAAACCAAAACAAAACAAAAAAAAGATCCATCTCACCGCTGGGCGGTGGTGGTGCACGCCTTTAATCCCAGCACTCGGGAGGCAGAGGCAGGCGGATCTCTGTGATTTCGAGGCCGGGCTGGACCGACAGCCTCCAAAACAATACAGAGAAACCCTGTCTTGTAAAACAAACAAACAAAAAAATCCCAGCACTCGGGAGGCAGAGGCAGGCGAATCTCTGTGAGACAGCCTGGTCTACAGATCGAGTTCCAGGACAACCTCCAAAACAATACAAAGAAACCCTGCCTCGAAAAACAAAACAAAACAACAAAAAAAATCCATCTCTTGCTGGGCATTGGTGGCACACTCCTTTAATCCCAACACTCGGGAGGCAGAGACAGGCAGAGATCTCTGTAAGTTCGAAACCAGCCTGGTCTACAAAAAGCTAGTTCCAGGACAGCCTCCAAAGCCACAGAGAAACCCTATCTCTAAAAACAAAAACAAAACATCAACAAAAAAACATCTCTTTTTGGGGGTGGGGAGGACAGGGAATTCTTTTTTGTTTGTGTTTTTGTTGTTGCTGTTTTTTCAAGACAGGGTTTCTCTGTGTAGCCCTGGGTTTCCTACTCACCCTGTAGACCAGGCTAGCCTCCAACTCAGATATCTACCTTCCTCTGTCTCCCAAGTGCTGGGATTCAAGTCCTGTACCATGTTGCCTGGCAGTTACTTAACATTTCTGAGACTCAATTTCCTTATTTGTAAATGAGACCATTACAGAGGTGATCCTGAGAATTAAATGAGAGAGCTGCAGGGCCTGGCAAGGAAAGGTCCCTTCCTCTTTCTGGCAAACATCCTCCATTTTGAGGATGCTTTCATTGAACACCTCATTAACCATTCCCCTAGGGTAAAGAAGCTCTTCTCCATTCTTTCTCTGATTTCATGGACAGGGACATTAATCCCTGGTCTCCCCCATGTCTGGAGTGTCTGTGGCAGCTCTTCCCACCTCCCCTGGGTAATCGGTAATCTCCCTCCCTCCCTCCCTCCCCCCCCTCTCTCTCTCTCTCTCTCTCTCGACACTGGGTCTCCTGTAGTCCAAACTGGCCTCAAATTTGCTACAGACCTCAGGCTGGTTTTGAACTGATCTTCCTGCCTCTTCCTCTCAGGTGCTGGAACTTGAGGGTGAGCTGCACACCTTAAGTCCTTCCCCCTTTTACTCCTCCGCTTTCCTCGAATGCAACCGCTACTCTAAACATGTGCAGCCCTCAGGTACTCATTCACTCTCCTACTTAGTGTTGTCTTCTGGTCCCAGGAACTAGAGGGAAAGGTGTGTGTGTGTGTGTCTGTTGAGTGTGACTGTGTCTCTTGTGTGTGAATGTGTGTCTGTGTGTGCACGGGTGTGCATGTGTCTGGGTGTGTGTGTCTCTGTGTGTGTATGTATCTCTGTGTGTGTCTCTGTGTGTGTGAGTGTGTGTGTGTCTGTGTATATGACAGGCCCCCTCCTCTTGGAGGTATGGTGTGGAAGGAGAGTCTAACTATCAGGTTAAGAGTCCCACAGCTTCCCAGGGAGAATCTGATTTTAGCTTCCTCACTCTTAACACCCTGGACTTCATCCCTGAACAGACCAGGATTCCTTGCCTAGTTTTCCTCAACTCTGCTCCTCCCTGCCTCCTACCTGCCCTGGGACTCCCTTCTAAAGTGTTTTCTGAAAAGCCACCCTGCTCTCTGTTTGCACCCCACCCATTCCCTGCGCGGGCTGGGCCAGTGGGCTTCTGGCTTCCCTCTCTCCTCACGCCCACAGGAGTTTCATCAACTTCAGCTGTGATGCTCTCTCTCTTAGTCTGACCCTCTCCAAACATCTGCCTCTATTACTCTCTCTCCCTCTCTCCTTCGCTCCAGTAACACAGCACACCCCTGTGTTTGCGAGGTGAAC